TCGCACAAATACACAGCGCACCCCTCGTGTCCCGCGACCCCCGGGACGCGGAGCCGGGGCTGGCCCAGAGCACGGCGTGACACCGGCCACCTCGGGGGCTGCAGCGCGGAGGCCAAAGCGACCGGAGGGTCAAGTGTTCTGGTCGGTCGGTCGGTTGGTTGGTTCTCTGGTTTTTAAAGCATCCCTCGTTTCTCCAGTGAGGCTGAGGAGGGTTGGTTCCGAGCCCTGGGGTTCCCAGAACACCCGTGCCCCGCAGGGAATGCTCGCCCGGAGGAGCTGGCAGAGCCCATCGCCCAGCTCCCAGCCTTTCCCCTCCACCACACCTCCCTCTTCCCAGCGCCGCGCCGGGAAGCGAGGGTCTCTGCAGGGTCGTGAGGGCTCCCTGACAAGGGGCGTTTGTGTCCCGGGTCCCCACAGGTGCCTTGTGATTTGTCTTACCCCTGCGCTGCGGAGGCGGCGAAGCTCCCAGCAGCTGGGGTTTTTGACCCTGCTCTGTCCGGGGAGAGGGATCGGAGATGTTTGGTTTGTGCGGGGATGTCAGATGTGGAAGATGAAGGGTATTTGCAATAATGGCTCCAGGTTTGGATTATTGGAGTGGGGCGGGGGAAGGCTGCCCTTGGTGCTGTCCTTGATGAAAATAGTGGAAGTTTCTCTTTCCCATGGGTAAGTGCTGGTTGGGGCTGGGACATCCCCTTCCTGCCACCCTTTCGTCCCCCACGGGACCATCAGGATGTCTTCCTCTTGATCCGCCATCAAGCCAGCGGGGAATTCACCCCTGTCCTCTCCATGCCAGCCTTGGGACATCTCCTGCTCTGTAGGATGTCTGCAGCTCCCTCCCCAGCCCATCCCAGAGGGACCGGAGGAGCCAAACTCATTTTCCTCGGGGTTTTTCAGCCCAGCTGCAGTTTTCACAGGACCTATTCCCCCCCCACCCAGGCTGAAGAAGGCGGGTGGGTTTGCTGCCAGCACAGCCTGGGGGAGGAGGGCTCGAAGAGCCTCCTCCGTGTTCCTGCAGCAATGGCTTTGTCACCACCCTGCCCTGGCGCAACGAAGCGGGGACTTCGATGACGCCAGTGCTCCAAAGACCAGCATTGTTCAAAACGCCTGGCCGCGGACAATTTCACTCACAGCGCTGCTGTCGCTCACAGAAACAGGGCTTCTTGCTGCAGCTCTGGGTCATGGGCTTCCTTTCCAGCCCGTGGAGTGATCCCTGCTGCGCTCAGCTCAACACCTGTATAAATCCATGTGAGATCAGGGCCAGAAACGATGATGAGACCCGGTGGAGCATGCAAGGGGGTCAGAGCTGTGGCCGGTATTGATGCTCAGCTCGGTAACTCCTGGCTTGCCTGCTACTGAATGTCAGCACTGGTAGGTTTTGGATTTCGTTTTGCTCCTGCAGAAAGCGAGGGAAAGCTGGAAGTCACGGCTGAGCCGCCCTGCAAAGCCAGCACTTGTTCTCATGGGTCTTGCCCCTTGCAAAAAAAGCCAGCGTCCCTCGTGATGGGTGCTTGAAATGTGATTGCGTGAAGCGTGATGGGTTAAATGTTGAGGAAGGAGATCTGAGTCTCACATTGCATCTTCTCCTGCTGCCACCGTGCCCCTCAGGACCCCCTGACATCCTTTCCATTACCTCAGGGCACTGTCCCCATCTCAGGCTTCAGTGTCTCTTTGGTCCCAAGGGCAGTGGGAGCGTGCCTGGCGCTCGCCCCCATCCCCAGGCCCTCCTGCACGTGCTGGGGAAGGAGCATCTCTGCTGTTATTTTGGGTTGGCATCTCAGGCCCAGCTCAGCCCTGGCTTTTGGGCAGCTGGGGGCGAAGCAGTGGTATGGGCAATAAGGTTGCCCATCTTGGCTCATCGGTAGGATGTATTTCTATATACATACACGTGGATGCATGTGTTGTGTTAAAGCTGAAGATGGTTTCTGTATTGCCCCATTTATCCTCCCATCCCTCTTCAACAGAGGAGAAATCATTAGAAATTTAGGCCATGAAAGAGTTGCTTTTGTTTTGGCAAAGTGGAGGCTGTTGGAGATGAAGACTTGGGAATAAAGGCAGCCTGTAAGTACAGCTCCCAGGAAAAGCTGCTGCTGACTGGGAGGTGGGAATGCGAGGCAAGGAGGGTGTATAACGCCCTGTCTCCTTTGCTCCCCCCTTCACCCACTCTCCTCCTGCCCAGTCCCTTGCCCCCAGCAATTGCAGAGGTGGGGGGGGGCAGCCAGTTGACCATGGCACGCTGCCGTGCTGGGAGGGCTCACAGTGCCTAAAGGGGGTTTTTGTGAGGGCTTGGAGCTGAACTGTTGAAATCTGTGCTCAGATTCCTCCTGGTGCTGTCAGAGGCAGATCCAGCCCAATTCTGTGAGTTCCCTCCCAGTTGGCTCGCCCAGCTGCTCTGCCAGAGTCTGATACTGAGTTAGGGAGCATCTGGCTGTGATGTGCTGGGGGTCTGGGCAGGCCCTTAGCGGCTTCCAGCAGCCGGGCAAGCTTGTATCCTTCTAAAAAATGCCTGCTGTGATGCTGGGCAGGCTGTGGAGAGACCCCTCAGACGAGCTGGGCTCCTTCAGCTCATCCCATGAGAGGGTCTCACTGTCCCTGCCAAGCCTCATGCCACCGATAAACCCTGGCCCTTCACTTCCTCCCATCGGAAGTCATTAACGCCGACGAGCTTTTCTGGCTGAATAGTTCCCAGTAACTCCGTGCCGCCGCCTGACATCCAACACCGCCGCCTGCCCGTGCTCCCTGCTCCAGGAGACAGCCTTCAGCGCTCGCGCTCTCTCCTCCTCCTCCTTGCGCTGTCATCATCGTCATCTGCTCTTATCAGGATGGGAACCCCTCTGTTTTGGGGTGTGCCTGGGTGGGACCGAAGCGTTTCAGGGGCTCCCTCCATCCTGTTTGCACCCTTTGAGCAGTATGTGGTGGAAGGCTGGGCCGTGCTGCCCTGTCTCCCTCGGGGCTCCTGTATGGGACCGGGGTCAATATGCAGCAGAAAGCAAAGCTGCTTCCATCAGCATGGGCATTCAGGAATCTACGCCCACCTTGCAAACACATCAGTAAAAATACATTTTGGGTTTTTTTTCGCTTGTCTTCAGGTCTTTAAGCCTTCTGGGAAGTTGCAGGTTGAGGTTTGCGACTTTGTTCTGTCAGTGATAGTCAGAGAAGTTTCTTTCTCAGTTTCTTGTGGTTTCGGGTGTGCACGGTGCTGGTGCTTTGGGAGGGGAGCATGTTCATTCAGGATGGCCCTGGCGTATTTTGGGACCATGGGCTTTGGGGAGCGGTAGGAGCATCCTGGGACCCTCCTGGCCCGAACCATTCTCATCTGGACTTCTGCGGCCATGTGAAACTGGCCTTACTGGGTGAGCCGGTCCATGTCCTGTAGCACATTGAAGCGTCAGCCCTCGACACCGATCTTGCTCATTACCTGTGTTCACACGGCCGGGTTCACTGCTCCATGGTGGAGCTGCAGCCCCAGGAGCTGCTGTCAGGTGACGGGTACCCGCTGTGCTGGGGTTGCTGTGTCTGACCAGGAGTTTGCCGCCATGAAACCCTCCTTGTGCTCCCTCTCTCCCTTCCACAAGCGTTTCCCAGCCCCGAGGCCATTTTTTCCAATGCTATCACTCCCCCACTTGCTGCTTTCCCAGCACTGGCGTTGCCTGTGTCTCCATGCCCCTTGCCCTCACCCCTTTTGCCAGTACCTGCCGCAGAGCTCCCCGCTTCACCCCGAGGAGCTGCTGGGTTTCAGCCCCTGCCTCTGCACCACGGGCCGTGTAACTCCCACTGCAACCAGGGATGTTCCTCGGGCGCTCCTCCTCCTCCTCCTACCCCATCTCACTGCACACCCCTCGTCTCTCCCACAGGCAACCAAGCAGTTCCTGGAGGAGATCAATAAGTGGACAGGCCAGTACAATGTGTCCCCACTCTCCTGGAATGTGGCCGTCAAGTTCCTCATGGCCCGTAAGTTCGACGTCCTGCGGGCCATCGAGCTCTTCCACTCCTACCGGGTAAGCGAGCGAGGCTGGGTCTTTGTGAGAGATCTCTGGTCCCGAGGACGACCCTCCCCCTGCTTTTTTTTTCTTTTTCCCACTCCCTTAGGAGTTTTATCCAGCTGGAAAATCCTTTTTCAGCCCAGGCGAGTCACCATGGAGATCTCGCCGACCCGGATCCCCTCCCCTCCGCCAAGAGCAGTGTGTGTGCTCACAGGGTGCCCTCCTGCCCACAGAGCATCTCACCATATATAAAGGATATATATGCATATATACTTTTCCCATCTTGGTTTTGTAAAGCTGCTTCTCCCCATGCTGGGGACTGGGGTGCTGCAGCCAGCTGTGATCCTCTGCTGGAAAATGGGGCCATGGAGCAGAGGTTTCCCTTGGAGGACTGGGTGCCCCACGGTGGGGTGAGGTGTGGGGAGGGCTGGGGTGCCTGTGCCGACCGTCACACCAGCTCCCTGCCCACAGGAGACACGGCTGAAGGAAGGCATTGTGAAGCTGAAGCCGCACGAGGAGCCGCTGCGCTCGGAGCTGCTCAGCGGCAAGTTCACCATTCTGGTAGGTGGGGGCATCCCCCCCCCTCCCCCAATTACCCCAGCTCGTAACTGGGGTAACTCATCCCAGCTCTGCTCCATGCGTGTGCCCTCGGGTGTCATGGGAGCCTGATGCTGTTTCCTTCCCAGAGTGTGCGGGACCCCTCAGGAGCCTCCATCGCCCTCTTCACAGCCAAGCTGCACCACCCCAGCAAGAGTGTGCAGCATGTGGTGCTCCAGGCACTCTTCTACCTGCTGGACCGAGCAGTGGAGAGGTGAGCCTGCCTCCGCCGAGGTACTGACTCTTACCGCAGCGTGGCCGTGGGGAGCCCTTTCTCTCCCAAGGGTGAGGGGAGATGCTGCTGCTCGCTGAGGTTTTGATAAAATCCTTCCAAAAGGCTTTGCAAGGAAAAGGTGTGGTGTCTCAAATGGGAATGTGAATTCCTGAAGGTGAGATTGTGGCTGAGTCTGCCTGCCTCTGGGTGTCCCATCTCTAATTAGGGGAGAGAAGAGGTCATAGCTCCCAGTGGCTTCAAATTCCTTGTCTTCCCCTGGTTTGACCTCAAGCCAGTCATCCCTACGGAGGTGTTCAGCAGCAGAACCGAATTCCCTAAGCCCTGAGCCAGGTTCTTCACAGCCTTTCCCTGCCTGTGTCCAGGTTTCAGTTTTGCAAGGCCCCTGATTCCTGCAGGCTTCACTCAGGAAGGAGGCAGCCCCCCCACACACACTGGCGAGACATAATGTGAGCCCTGCCAAAAATATAAAGCCGGGATGTCCCGTTTATTCCTGCTGGGCTGTTCTGTTTTTGAATTTACCCGTCACAGGCGATGCAGCTGAGACAGGCTTAAGACATGAGCCAGGCTTAAATAAGGGTTGTAGGAAGAGGTGGTGAAGCAGCTGGGAAATGTGGAAGCAAGCTTTGGGTCAGTGGGTGCTTCTGGAAGGACAGAAGGGGATTTTTTGGGGGTCAACAAGCTGAAGATGAGGTTAGTGTGGGGCAGGTCTGCTCATGCAGGAGCCAAGCAGTTGGATGTTGTGAGGTTGATGTTGCTTTTTCACCTCTCAGCTTCGAAACCCAGAGGAACGGGCTGGTGTTCATCTATGACATGGCGGGCTCACAGTACACCAACTTCGAGCTGGACCTTAGCAAGAAGATCCTCAACCTGCTGAAGGTAACAGCCGGAGGTGACCCAGTGTCCGGGAACGGTGCGCAGGCCACTCGCTCACCGAGTATGTGAGGTCCTGTGGTTTTGGCATACGTGTTCCCACCAGACCGTGCTGACCGCATCTCGGCTGAGGAGCACCGGCTCCCACCCTGCAGGACCTCGGGAGGGTGTTGGGAGCCTGCCAGGCGGGACCCGGCCAGGGCTGCGGTGTCCTGTGGGTGGGAGGGGATCAGCTGTCCCCGTGCCGGATTCCTCTCGCAGCTGCTGGCAGCACTTTTGGGAAAACAGATGCAAATTATTCTTTAATCGTGCTGGCATTTCGTGCCTCCTCCCTTCTCCGGAAAAAAGAAATAACAGTAAATAATGTCCGGGGTGTGTTCTCACAAATCCTGGCTCCCAGGCTTCACCTCTCCCCCATGGAGCCAAACCCTCTGCCTATCTAATTCAAAGGAAATAATTTGTTTCCGTATCAGAGCATAAAAATAAATGCGGCCATGTGTGAGGCACGCTTCAGATGTGACGTTGCCGTTGCCACCTTTGCTGGCCGTCACCTCTGCTGGGATGCGTGTTGTTGCCCCCAGCAGAGTGCAGAGAGGGGCTGGTTCCTCCCTGATGACGTGGATCTGACCCCTCCTGCCCACAGGGTGCCTTCCCGGCTCGGCTTAAGAAGGTTTTCATCGTGGGAGCTCCCATGTGGTTTCGCGTGCCCTACTCCATCATCAGCCTGCTGCTGAAGGAGAAGCTGCGGGAGCGGGTGAGCGCTGCCCCCCCACCCCAGCATGGGACACTCGGCGGGGAGGGCTGAGGCTGTTTTCTGTTTGGGACAGGATGGTGTAAGCAGCTTGTGCCCCTCAGCCCCTTCCGCCGGAAGCTGCTGAGCCCAAATCCATGGGAAACTGAGGCTTTCTTAGCCTATTTTGTAGGGCTCAACTTGTTTCAGTATTTTCAGCAAATATCTTGAACCTCTTTTGAAATCACCTTCCATTTCTTCCTCTGTGGTGAGGCTGCCAGCAGCAGCAAACGGAGGGAATGGTAAATGATTAAAGAGAAAGGAAACATCTGCTGAGCACGCAGGAGAAATGCGCTCAGGCGCTATCTGACAAAGACAAAAATACGTAAACCAGTATCCTCATCAGCAGCAGTGCTGCTGGTAGGGCCCTTTTCCAGCCCAGTGCCTCCCTGGGCTGGACTTTACCTCTCTGCTTTTGGTAGGAGCTTGGAGCCCCTTGTAAATTTGGAGCTGGGTGCTCCCAGCACTCTGGGAGCCAGCCCCTGCCGCTCCACTGGTGTTCCCCTTGGGTGCCCTCCCGGGGCGGGCGAGGAAGGGGGAAGACCCCGATGTTATAGGGGGAAATCTCCGAGCTCCATCGGAACTGTGCCAGGCCACTGTCCCTGTCCCCAGCAAATCCTCTCCATCCTCCTTGGAGTCGCCACTGCCCCTCTTCTTCCTCCCGCAGGTGCAGATGGTGAAGATGTCGGAGCTGAAGGAGCACCTGCCCCGGGAATGCCTCCCCGAGTACCTCGGGGGGTCCCTCAAACTGGACCCTCTGAGCTGGAACTGCCGGTTCCTGCCCCAGCAGAACGGGCATCCCGACCCCCTGGATGAGCTCATCCTGGTGCCGCTGGTGGCCCCTAAAGATAATGGATCCGTCCACGTCCCTGGGCCCAAGTCCATCACCCTCCAGGAACTGCTGGATCATGTCAGCCACAAGCAGAAACGAGGCATCTACGAAGAGTACGAAGATATTCGGCGCAGGAGCCCGGCCGGCACCTTTGCCTGCTCTTTGTGAGTAAGAGGGGGAAGGAGCCAGGTGTGGGCCAGCGTGGGGGTCCCCTCCCTTTCTCCAAAAAAGCTGGTTTCCCCCCTCCCCATGCTTCTGCTGCTCAGCGGTAGCCCATCTGCCTCTTTGGGGTGCAGTGCTTTGGGTTAGCGATGGAGACCCCCGGCCTAGCGATGCTGTGAGCCCCCTTTACGGCTCCCACAGCCGCCGAGGTTCGGAGGGAACCGCGCAGGGAAAAGCGGGGACTAGGACCTGGCCGGGACTCTGCTTCCCGAGGCTTTGGCCAGGTGATGGCAGCAGAGCCCAGGCTATGGGCTCTGGAGGCTTGTGCAGAGGGAGGAATGGTGCCTTTTCCTTCCCTGCCTGGAAAACATCCCTGCTTCCCTCTACCCTGCCTCCCAGGGCACCCTACAACCAGGAGAAGAACCGGTACGGGGACGTGCCCTGCCTGGACCAAACCCGCGTCAAGCTGGCGAAGCCGTATAGCCGCCCGGAGGTGAGCCGGCCTGGCATGGAAACTCAGGCTCCCTTGTGAAGCTGACACAGCTGTCCTGGCCACAGGACTCTAGAAGGCTCACACTCTGTCTGCTTTTGTCTCCCCAGCTGACCGATTACATCAATGCAAGCTTCATGGATGGCTACAAGCAGAGGAACGCTTACATCGGGACGCAGGGTATGGCCTGAGCCCCTGAGGGGTTATTTTTCTCCTGATGTGTGTGTGGGTGTCACTTCCCTGCCCAGCACCAGGCAGCGGCCACAGTGGGGGCCATCCTGGGAGCAGGGTGCTGCCAAGCAAGCCCTCCTCCTCTCTGTGTATTTACTCCTCTCCCAGTCCCCAGCCAGAAGGGAATAGAGTTTCTCCTGGGAGAGAGTGAGTGGGTCCATCCTCCTTCAGCTCAGAAAACAAGTCATGGGCTGAAGAGATCCTCACTAGCAGCGGTGATAGCAGCCTCCTCCTCCTGCCCCTAACTCAGCCCTGGCTTTGCCCCATCTGCCCCGGGGTGAAGCAGCAGAGAGGGGAGATCGGTTCTGAGCCACAGGGATTCCGTGCTGGGACAGGGAGCAGTCGGTGACAGCTCCAGGCAGGGCTGGTGGATCCACACCAGGGTCAGTCCCCACGAGAAGGGGCTGCAGGGGCAGCTGGGCAAAGGAGCTCACCCAAATCCCTCAGGTTTTGGTCTGACATGTGGGCTGTCCCTGCAGGGCCTCTGGAAAACACCTACGGTGACTTCTGGCGCATGGTGTGGGAGCAAAATGTCCTGGTGATTGTGATGACAACCAGGTGAGTGCTCATGGTGGGGGCACAGCCCTGTTCTTCTCTGCAAAATGAGCATTTTTGCTGTTGGATGAGCAGCACTCTGCTCTCTGCAGTGACCCTGCAGCCGTGGTGCCAGCCAGAGCCCCGCAGGGCAAGGACGTCACATCAGGGGTGGATGTGGGGTCCTCAGGGGATCATGGTCGGGTGGAGTGGGACATGTGCCTGTCAGGGCAAGGAGGACATCACCAGCTTGTCCTTCTGCTCCCAGGCTGGAGGAGGGAGGCAGGAGAAAGTGCGGCCAATACTGGCCCCTGGAGAAGGATTTCCAGGTGTGCTTCGGGGCCCTGACCATCACCAACCTGGGCGTGGAGAACCTCAGCCATTACAAGAAAACCGTCCTGGAGATCCACAGCTCAGAGGTGTGTGGCCACAGCTGCCTGGTGAGGGATGGCACAGGGGTGCGGGAGGTCCTCTGTGGCCAGGGGCAGAGGAGAGTGGGGGGTCTAACCCCTCTGTTTTCCCCCAGACCAGGGAGCGGCGGCTGGTGTCCCATTTCCAGTACCTGAGCTGGCCGGACTACGGCGTCCCCTCCTCAGCGGCCACCCTCATTGACTTTCTGGGGGCTGTGAAGCAGCAGCAGAGGGTGGCGGTCAGCGCCCTGGGACCTCGCTTCAAGGGTCACCCTGGGGGACCCCCGATTGTGGTGCACTGCAGTGCCGGCATCGGCAGGACAGGTAACGGGGTAACCCCGGCAGTGGGGCACGTTTCCACCACGGCCTGGGGGCAAGCTGGTGGTTCTGGGGTGCATGTGCCCAGGGCTCCCCGCAGCCATTGGCCTCCATCGCAGCCTCCGCTTCTGCCACTGTGGGAGGTTTTACGGGGGTGCTGAGGGGCTGCCCCATTCTGGTTCTCTGAAGGGTCTTGGGGGCCGACGCCATCCCTGTCGTTGTCCCCAGGTACCTTCTGCGCGCTGGACATCTGCCTGTCGCAGCTGCAGGATGTGGGCACGCTCAACATCTCCCAGACGGTGCTGCGCATGCGGACCCAGCGCGCCTTCAGCATCCAGACCCCCGAGCAGTATTACTTCTGTTACACCGCCGTCCTTGAGCACGCCCAGCGCGAGGGCCTGCTGCTCGCCAACCACAGCCGGGCCAGCCAGGAGAAGGGCTCACCGGGACACTGAGACCTGCCGCCTCCCCGCAGAAACCCCTTCCCAGCCCACCGGGGCTGCCGGAGCCGCCTCCATGCCCGCTGGGACTCGGCGCTCAGCACTGCTGTCGAACTGTGCCTTATTCACACCAACCGTGGCTGCCGCTCGCCTGGCGGCGGAGGACGGCGCAGGAAGAGGCTCTCACTCCTCTCCGCGGTATTTCTGTCGAGGGGGTGGGTTGGTTGGGGGAGGTGGTTTTTCTTCTTGTTGTGGTTGGATTTTTTTTAATTAATATTTTTTTTGTTGGGACCATCTAAAATGTATCTAGAGAGGGGCTCTGCAGAGCCCTAGGAAATGTATTTCCAGTCATGCCCTGGGGTTTAGGAAGAGGCGCCTACTTCAGTCTTACCTGCCACTAAGTATGTGTGTCTGTATGTATGTGTGTATATAATATATCCCTGCTGTGCCCACCCCTGGCTATTATATATATACATATATACAAGCACCCGTTGAGCAGCTCCTGCGGTCCCCACAGTCCTGCTGTCTCACTGCTGTGATCCCTGGAGCGTTGAGTTTGGTCCTGGCTCTGTCTTGTTTTCCCACCCCCAACCCCCGGCTCCTTTTTCCCTTTCCTGCCCCTCCTGCTCCTCGCAGGCAGCACTGGACCTGGTTCCTGCTCTGGGGGTGCTCAGCAGCATCCTCCTCCCTCCTTTTCCTTGTCTCATATTCCCCATCCTCATCTCCTGCCGGGAAACGGCAGCTCTGCTCCCGGGAGGAGGATGTAGAGGATTTTGCCCGCGGGTCGGCCGAGGGGTAAGGAGCTCACGGTGTCCCCCGCCCCTAGGGGTGCAGCCGCCGGAGTCACTAGGTACGAGGGGATGGGGACACGGAGGGGACCGACCGGCTCTCCAGGTTGCCCGGCTTTTCCAAGCCGGCAGTGGGAATCCGCGGGCCCAGCCCTGCGGTGAGTCACGGGCTGGAAAAGCGCTGAGCAAAAAACGCCAAAACGCTGGAGAGGCCATGAGCTGACCTGACCTCCGGGGCAGCAGCACCTGCCCAGGGCACTGGGACTGGCAGCGCCTGCGCCTCAGTAACTTTATACTGTAATAAGCTCTTTGAATGTGTATATTCTTATTTTTTTATAATCTTGGGGGGTTGGGGTTTTTGGTTTGGGTTTTGTTTTGGTTTGGTTTTTTGTATTTAACATTAACTTGATCCAAGCCAGAGCCAGAAGTATTTGTAAATGTTCCTATTTTGCTCTCGTTCAGAGAAACATTTTCGTTGTTACTTTTTGGGTTTTGTTTTGTTTTTATTTGTACCGACATATAAATACACTACCAGTGACCGGTCCTCTCAGCTCTCATGCTGCAGTTGGTCAGGGGCAGGAGAGGAGAGGGAGGGAGTTTAGGGCTTTGCACACCCCGCAGTCCTCAAAAGTGAGCTGGCCTCATCCCTGGAGACACGCTGCGCTGCCGTGGCCCCCTAGCACTGGGGAGGGCACAGGGCTGCATTCAGGGCCGTGCCAGGGAGCAGGGGGCTGGGGGGGTCAGGGCAGCTGCCCTCAGAGCCCAGCAGCCCACTCCTGACCCGGGTGAGGCGCCGTGAGAGGGAGCCAAGCTGCAGACAGCTTCCTTGGGTGGGCAGGACACAGGATGCCGGCAGGAGGGAAGGCAGCGAGGTGTGGACAAGCTGCCCCACTCTGAGCTCCTGCCTCTTTTCCCAGGGCCTGGCTGAGCCCCAGAGCATCAATCTGCTTTAAGCACCGGGTATTTGGGAGTCTCTTTCTTTGCATAGACCTTTTCTCCAGCTGTCACCTCCCTCCTTTATCTATTTTGATGAATAATTATTGAGGAAGTGCCCAGGGTGTGTTGGCCACCCTGATGAGCAGCCCAGGAAACCAAACCTGTATCTGCAAGGACCCCCCGGCCAGGGCTGGAGGGGCAGCGCCATGCCCTGGATGGGGAGGCGGGACAGGCAGGGCTGGCTGGGGGATCTGCGTGCTGCTGCCTGCACCACATAAGGCACAGTGATTTGGGGGGGCTGGTAGGGTTTGCCTCTAATGCAGATGCTGTCAACAGCGAAAGGCTGGGCGGCAGCTGATCTGAACATGGCGTACCTGATCCTGTTGCTGCTACCTGTAACGCTCAAGGGGTGGAAGCGGAGATTAAAGGAACGGGGTTGTTGGCCGCCTCTGGTGTTATTTCCTCAGCACCTACAGCTGTGGTTTGGGGAGCGTATGCCGTCTTCCTGCGATTGGGAGCATTCTGCAATAAACGCTGTAAAACGATGAATGAGAGCAGCGTGGGGAAAGGCCTTTTGCTGCGGGATTTGGGGGTAAGGGCAGTGTTTCTGCCGCACCTGCTCTGAGCAGGCGTGTAGGGCAGAAAAACGTGCAGGCACGGCTTGGGGGAACACGGCTGGGCTTCCTGTGGGCTTTACAGCCAGCCCCGGTGCCTTCGGGTGCAAGTGATGCCAGTCCTAGAGCTGCAGCCACAGTTTGAGGCTTCGGGGCGAAGACAGAAAAGAGGCAGTTGGTGTGAATCAAGCCCTAGAGCAAGCGGGAGAGCATGTGCCCCAGAGCAGAGCAGCCGGCCACAGTGAGGCTCCCGGGTGAGAGGAAACACCGGCGAGTGGGGAGAGCAGCACCTGTGTTTGCTCAGCTGGAGTTTGAAAAAGCCAAGCAGGCCAGTGTCTTTCTGGGACTGGCAGCGATGGAAGCTTTCCCTGGTGCTTGAGATGTGGGCAGGCTTGTCTGGGCCAAACACATGGGCTGGATGGCTGGAAAAGAACAGGAGGCAGCAGGGCATCCTTTTTCAAGGGATGCGTGCCCCGAAACCCACGGCTGTGTGAGAATGGGCATTCTGAGCGTCCTCGGAGCTCTGCGTGTCCTGTCTGGGGAGTGCTTCTGTTTCAGCTGGAGTGTCCCATTCTTCTAGGTACCATTTTCTGTCCCTCTGTGCTCCTCAAGCAGCATCAGCCCACACAGTTGGACCTGCAGAGTGGCTCCCCTGGCTCATACTGGCTTCCAGCTTCCCTCCCGGCGCCCGCTGCAGGGTGGCTCCAGCATCTGAGGGAGCCCCTTGTCCTCAGGGAGGAAGGAGCCCGGGATCCTCCTTCCTCACTGCCAAACACATTCTTCACCCCAGCTGGGGTCTCTTGTTGGCACACCTGCAGAAAAGGGGGCTTTTGGCTTGTTTTTGCCTGTGTTGTGGGCCCTGGCTCAGTGGGGTTTTCAGCGAGGTGTCAGGTCCGGACCCAAAAGCTGCAGGTGGTGGCAAGGGTCCGGTGTGGCCCTATGGGTGTGCCTGGCCCCTGTTTCCCTCCCACAGGCTGCAAAATCCCAACCGAGCCTTTGCTGTGGGTGCAGGGAAAAGCAGTCACACCTTCAGCTTAATTCCATACGATGTGGGCACAGAGAACTGAAACATTTCTGAGGAGACCCAGGTCCTGGTCTGTCAGTGTCTCATCAGGAATACCAGGCAGTGTGGTGCTGGAGGGTGTTTAATCAAAAGGCACTTCAGGCTGACGTTAATATTTATTTCTTTTTATGCTTAGTTTTTCTTTTTTGACTTTTAAAACGTTTTCCTTTTCAACTCTTTTGATGAGATCAGCCCATCAGTGGTTTTGGACTTTAAACTTGAGGTTTGAGGATTTTTAACCAGTCTGGTGGCCTTCGACAGACAAATAACAGCAGAAGACGGGGCAGAGGATTTATTTGGTTGCCTCCAGACTTCAGGCTCACAGTTGGTAAGCAGGGAGAAAACTGGGAACCACTTGGATATGCTGCTGTCGTAGACCTCGGCATCTCCCTTCAAGGAGGGACGAAGATCCCATCTGTGCCGGAGGCGGAGAAAAAGGTTGTAAGCATTTTCCATGGGAAAACAACCCAAACACTCTCCCACCCTATTTCCAGGGCTGCATTTCTTGTCAAAGCCAGTGTTTTCAGCCCTCTTGCACAACACAACACAACACAAGGTTTTGTTCCATCCACTCCTCCCTGAGCCAGCGGGTCCTGCTCAGCAACAGAAATACAGATTTCTATGGAAATGGACACTTCACAGAGAGCCAAGTGTTACTGGAAAGTAAAACTTTGTGTTGTTTGGAGAACAGTGGAAGGAATGGGTCACTGAGTGCAGGCAGCAGCTTTGCCTTGCCCTGCCTGCAGCATCTCTCCTTCCCCGGAGTGCCCCAGGGATGGGGATCAATCACCACCAGCAAAAGTCACAGCCGGGACATCCTGAACCGGAACAAGCCCATGAATGAAACCCAAAGTGCTGGTCGAGGCTGGAGACGGGCTTTAAAGCCATTGCAGGGAAACTCCAAGGGGGAGATGCCATCTCTGTGCCTACCTGTCTCATTTGGCATTCTGGGTTTCTTGGCTGCATGCAGCCGCCTCGATAATTACGAATACTTTAGAGTGCTTGTAATTTGCCCAGCACGGGTTGAGCCCTGGGAGTTTGCAAACAGCCTGGCTCCAGAGCGCTTCATTTCTCAGCCCTCACGCTTCCTTGCCACCAGGTTCCTAGGCTCAGGCTCCATCCTCAGCAGCCTGTGCAGGTTGAAAAACCCCTGGCCAGAGACCTTTCAGCAGTTAAACCGAGCTGCAGCTGCCTGCCAATGAGGCAAGAGCCGTCCTCCTCCGCTGTGTCCTGGCCTCCTGGCAGTACCCGGGGTCCACCTGCTCCCGGCGCTTAGAACTGAGAACAGGAAAAGCTGCTGGAAAGGAAAAAAAGAAAACAGAAGATGTTTAGACCTTGTTTGAGTGAAGATGCTTGAAATACGTATTTTAAAAGAAGTTTAGAGCACGTGCGTTTTTATTTTTTGCCCTCCCGACCGCTCTGGATGACCAGATGAGCAGCAGGCCTGGTGACAACTAATCCGAGGCCAGGCCTGGCGTCTCTGGTCTCGATTTCAGGCAGGCAGAGGGGTTGTGCCTGTACTAGAGGAGCAGCCAGTAACTCTCTCCACAACTTTGTAAACGCTGGGAGGAAAAAAAAAAAAAATTTAAAAAAAAATTAAAAAAAAAAAAC